GGGGGCAGGTGACACTACAAGGTGCGTAGACACCAAGCGAACGAGGGCATGACTTGTGCCCAGATATGGCACATCCTGTGGCAGAATGGCTTGTTCGCCCCAAAAGCAAGTCACATTCGCGATCGTAGCCTAGCTAAGCCGTAAGGAAAATACATATAGCTGAATTAAGACACACAGTAGCACAAATAAGTAATTCAGTTTGCTAAGAACACCTTCTACGTTGTTGGCACTGCCTCTGTTTGTCTCTCTTGGGTCGCTTTGCTGTCCGTCCTGCCAACTCTTGTTCTCTTTGTGCTGTGTTGATGTGGTGGTGAATGCGTGGCCTCTCCTTCTGGTCTCTAAATATCGGAGTTGCATAAACAGACGGGCAAACAGTTCATTGGAGAATTTTTATCCGCAGATCATACCAAGCCCCTATACCGGAATAATCACCGAGGAGCTTAGCAACAAAGTCGCCGAAAAAGGTGCATTTAATTTCTTCGCTAAAATATAGCATACTTTGTTTAAGTGAAATACTTATACCTTCCGGGAGGGTATAAGGCTATTTTAGCCTATCCCTGTCACCCTCCGCGTCCAAGGGGTTAACGCTTCGGGTACTCCGTACCCATGTGTACGCCACACTTCTGTAACCCCGTTACAGAGCACGTGTAAGAGGTTGACATCGTACTGGAAATGATGTCACTATTGAACGCGTTTCGATCGCGTTTCGGTCCCCGCTGGGGCCTCGTCAGCGACTTTACCAATCGAGAAGTGATATCAATCATCATCTAACAGTCTATCCGTACTTCAACTTTTTAGAACCCTCCAAATGTATCCTCTATAAGATATCTACTCTGACGTCGACCGGACTACCGCATGTACCCGATAAGTAGTTCCAACAACATGATTGCTTCGAACAGCATGAGTCTTCATGTTGAGTTCGAATTCAACACGACGCGAAGGCGGCAATCCATCTGGAAGAATCTACGGAAAGATGTCAGCAAATTCCTCCAATAACTGAGTGATCGGAATAGGTACTAAGTCGCTCACAGACATGATGGCACACATCTTGACACGGTACACCTCGTCATCCACGTGTTTCTTCATATTACGTTTGAAGTCGGCGGTGGTAATTTGCACAGCTGCTTCGGTTGCAATTGGCGACGGAGGCGCACAAGGTACACTTGGAAATGTAATCTCATGTAAACGCCAATCGATGTGCGTTTGGAACTTAGTAAACCAAGGTTTTACGAAGATGACAGCATGAGCAAATCCAAGAGGCCATTCCATAACTCGAAGTTTGCGGAAGAGGTAGCGACCAAATTCGATTGTAGCTTGACCTTTCTTCACTGAACTTGCTTTCAAAGATGTTCCATTGAATCGGGTAACTTGTGAGACACCAGATGTAGTCGTGTTAGCAACTAACCCTGGGCGAACAATATTGCATGTAGCACCACTGTCGAACATGATGACGACAAGCTTCCCATCACACGTCCCTTGTTTACGAATGAGTTCGTTCTCACGAAGCATGGGCGACAAGGTGGACGTGATAATCTCTTCCCCTTCAACAACCTCAACCTCGCCATCCGAACGTGTCGATGAGGAACGATCAGCAGCATTGGTCGTGGACGGAGAAGAAGAATTAAAATTCGCGGCAGATTGATCGTGGCGATTCTGTCGAGAATACGTATCCTTGTTCTTCAAGGTGTTCAGCCAGCTAAAACTGTCATCCCAGTAAAATATCAGAACATGACGGAGCTATGTATCATATATATAATCGTAGATCCCTTCCCGCGATTTTTACTATGGGGCACCGTGCCCCCCCCCTTTTTTTGTAGACTGGCTGCATCGTGTCTGGCGTATAGTAATAGCTCATTGGCTAATATCAGTTTCATCCAGTCAGCGTGGACGTACTTTCTGCTCAAATATCGCACTTTTAGAGCGCCCTGTGTACAACACACAACCAGATGGCCGTGTGTAAACCTATGTGGTGCACACAAACACATGCTGTTTTGTCATTTCCAAAATACAATTTATAGTCCGACGATCAGTTCTGGACTAAACCGTTTGGTGTCTGGGCTAACTTTTGGTTTTTGGGCTAAACTGTAGCTGGGTATAGCGCCTGATCTAAGTGTTTACAGCCGAACTTCTTCACATACTTAGTAGAGTAGCAGTCTAACAGCTCCAAGGGAATACAGTTAGCGATACTACATTACACTTAGCTGAAAAGTATCCGCGACGCGTGTTTAACAATTGGAATGCATAGAGCACCTACGACTAGCGTGAAAATTTTACCATTTGGATGACAGTTACAGCAATGTAGTAATGTGGTGGTTAGAAATAACTCCAATGTAGAAGAACAAGGCTACAAAACCCGTAAAAAAGAGAAACGTATAAACTCTGAAATTAAAAATTATAGATTCCCTGTAGTCAACAACAAACATTTATTATTATTCGACTTGAAGCAAGCTATGTACCAATTGCACCGCCTGATTTTTTTCGTACGAACTCAATAACGTTTCCAGCATTCAAGAGCATTAAATTGCCAAATTTGTGTATTTGCTTATTACTGTGATGCAAGCAATTTACATAGAAATCTCAATATTTCTTCACACATTCTGGCTACAATAAATCTGCCGTTTCTGAATTTTAATCTCAGTAGTCATATCGAATTCTGGTTACAATTGCTACACATAGTTTGTCGCTGTGTACGTGTTCTTCCCAGACACGATATCGTAATAACTCGAAGTACCAAAGCTGGTATCATGCTAATTATTCAGGGTGCCATCCAAACCAATATAAAACGTTTGGTCGGTTTATCAATTTAATCAGTATTTTACAGTGCTACACCCCGTTTTCGCGCCCTCTGACCTTTGATAAACCGGATATATTGATCTTCTTACCAAACACCTACGATTTGTATGCCAAAATCTAGTGTTTCTGAAAAAAAAAATTAAGGTCCACCCCCACGAAAACGGGGTACAGTACTGTAGTTTGAATAACAAAACTGTTTGCTGGAATACGACTTTCCTATCACGTTGATTCTTTAAAAGTCGAATTAAAATTGCTTGATGAGACCAAAAAGTGGTATTACCAAAATATTCACCGAGATTAATCTTTAATGCGCGACTTTTGATGTAGGTTTTGAAAGACACCCAGTGGCTGTAATTAGTAATAATATCTCGCAACCATATCCATAAATAACTAGGGCTCGGAAAAATAATAATTTTGGGATTGTGTTAGGGGAATAACGAACTATTGCAGTCCCCCGCTCTCCGTAAAATATAATAATTTGCAAATATTACTTATATAGACTTTTAGTACATTGCTGGAGTGATATGTACAGTAGCCGGTGAGCTAGAGCATAATATCGATTTGCAGTAGCGAATCGGCATAAATCTTTCGAGAACATTAATATATATATATAATTAATATTATTAGATCCTGATATACGAAATAATATACTATCTTAGCATTTTTTTTTCCTGGAATCCAAGTACAACCTTTTTTATCGTTCGTGCCCTGTCATTATATCAAATTGAAGAAAATCAGCGTCACAACATGCGAGATGAAATGTAAGTAGCGGTTTTGCCTGCTGACTGCGTCTGCTAGCATGCTCTGCTGCAGCGGCACATACAGGTCAACCCGCCGGAGCAGTCCAACAGACTCAATACGTAGCATTATGAATATCAGAGCTGAATCAATAAAAGATATTTGCACACTTCATTCAAATAATTCGGTTTCTAAAATTCTAGAACTGGCGTTATTTGTTAGAAGTGATATATTTGTGAGGTAAGATCGATTACATAGAGTGAAACTGTAACGAGTTGGTGCAGCACGATGGGGGGGGACTGTTGCTGGCGAGAACTTCCAGCAGGATGACTAGTGGACGCACGGGTATGCCGAAGGCTCCGATGAACCCAACAGAAACGGAGAATGTGCGTTTGTCGTGCTACATCGCACGAACGGAAGGATGAGGAGTCGCAGGTCGCGAAAGCTAGCGAGCTGTGGAGTGAGAGGCTCATCATCTCAGCTCTAATATCGTCGGAGATGAGGCTATCCATAACTAACATAGCGTTAGATGACCATAAAGCAAATTTAGGCGGAGAAGGGAATTGAACTAAGCCAGAATTGTCGCGGCAGAATAACGGAAAGGCACAATATCAATAAAGCATATTACGCATAACGAGAGCATTGGCACTTTGGGACGATTGGAAATATTTGATCTCGAAATGTTGCGAAAAATAACTTCAGCGTTTAGAAAACCAGCTTAGAATAGTACGGGGTAAATATAGAAGATGCAGTGGCCGGTGGCGCTTCAGATATTAATCGATGTCAAAATTATGAGCATTTGCTTTTAAATCCCCCGCCGAGCGAAGCGAGGCGGCCCAGGCTCTTGGTCGGCTTCAACCTGCCCGAAGAACCCCGCCCGCTCGGCTTGTTATTTAATATTTTTAAGTAGCACCACGAATTCACGTTTTTTGAAAATGTTTTTTGAAAAAATCACTAATGCCGTGCGTTGCTCGGGAAACTCTGGATATTTGGATACTCAATATTTAATATTATAATATTTGTCAATAGGAAGAAACTGAAGGATGGGCCCCCACTTCGCCAGCGACACTTGGACTTTTTACTTTTCTTAGTTGAGAGGAGCAATCCCAACCAAACGGAATTGCCGCTGAGGTCCAAACCCCAGAGACAAACCAAACGGATCAGGAGCGTTCGCAGTCGTATAAGAAGAGGGCAAGAGCCTTTAAGAAGGCCAAGACCGACTAAACCTTCTTGTCGGCAACCTAGGGTAAGCAAATCGATTCGGACAATCGTATGGCCAGCATTAAATACCAGCTTAACCTTAGCTCACAAATTGTCCTACGGGTAGGATCACTGTCCTACCGGTGGGACAGAGTTTGCAAACGTGTACGTCATAACTGAGCAGTTGGTTTTGTGCTGTGATTGGTTCATTTGATAAACGAAAGACAGCTATCTCTTCCGCCACTCGAATCGCAACAAGCGGGGGCATAATGACGACGCCACTCCTACCGGGAGATCGTGTAGAGGGAAAGTCTAAGAAGCTCGCTGGGCGGCGTGGGGTCGTGCTCTTGGTCAGCAAGGAGTCTAGAATGCGCTCCTATAAAGTCCAATGGGACTCAGGAGTTGTAGAGAGCGTCTCAGCCCGCTCAATACGCCGCGAAGTGGGGGTAGCTGCGTGGACACCACCCGATCTCGCCCAAATAGCTCGTCTGGAGGAAGGTGATGCAGGTGCTGACGTGGCAGACTCCAGCTCAGACATGAGCATCAGTAGCAGCTCGTCGGAAGGAGAGAGCGTGTGCGCTGCTAGTAGCACCACCGCTGCTGCTGGCGGTGATTGTGAAGCCCAGCGAGCCGAGACTGAGAGAGACGAAAGTGTGTACGCCCACGGAAGGAAATGGGTACATCGTGATGCTGTGTTTATTGACCCCGCGGATTTCGTTCCTGCGCGAAAAGCATCACTTCACTGGCCGTTGCATCTGCAACTGGGGACGCTCGTTCGCATCCTACTTCTATCTCATGTACCCGGTGGGATCTTTGCAAACAACGATACAAGAAACGAATAAGTTGCTGATGGAGAGACGCCATGGAGTTATTGGTCGAGGTGAATTCTTTCGTTGGATTGGCATCAGATTAGCTATGACTCTAGAACCTCGACGTGGGCCCATGACGGTTTATTGGAACTCGTCTGTGCCAAAAGGAAGCGTGGGAACCGCTGCTAATTTTGGTCAACTCTACGGAATGACTTGCCGAACATTTCAGAATATTCAAGGTGCGCTTCGGTTTGCGCCGAGCAAAGCACCAGCTGAGGATTCTTGGCAGGCAGTTAGACTTCTAATTGATGCTTTTAATGAGCAACGGTAGAGTGTCATTTCTCCTGGCGCAGTGTTATGCGTGGATGAGTGCATGAGCTCTTGGCAAAGAAGGGAGGAAAAGTATACACATGACGGAATTCCTCATCTTACCAAAATCCAGCGGTAACCAGAGGATGTTGGGGCGGAGCTGAAATATATTGCTGATGGCGACACTGGAATTTTGCTAGCCCTAGATCTAATGGAAGGTGCGCATCGGCAACGTCAAAAAGCATACAATGCTGACTTCGGGGAGGGCACTGCTGTTGTCCTACGACTTGCTCAACCGTATGCTGGCAGTGGCCGCACTGTCGTCGCCGATAGTGCCTTTTCGTCTGTTAAGACGCTAGTCCAGCTCAATTCAATGATGGGGCTGTATTTCATGGGCATGGTTAAAACTGCGACCAAAGAATATCCTATGGACCATCTCAAGGTTGGTCTAGTGTTCCGCGCCCTCGTGGTAGCCACACAGTCATGGAGAGTAGCTGCGCGAATGGGTCAAAAATGTACGCGCTTTGCTGGAATGATCGAAAGCCCAAGACGATAATATCTAACAGAGGAACCACGTTACCTGGTTCTGATAGCGTGCGTGTTCGACATCGGCGTGTTGATACCGGTGGTGAAATTCGCACAGAGCGCTACGAGAAAAGAATACCTCGACCATACATGGTGGAGCTTTTCTTTCGGTATTTTTCAACAATTGACGTGCACGACCATTATCGACAAGGATCACTCGAGATGGAGCGTCAATGGCTAACGCATTCGTGGGCGCACAGAATATTTGCTACGACTCTCGGGATGGTTATTGTGTATTCCTATCTTGCTTACCAGCATGAGACCAAGAGCAACAATATCGTGGCCTGCTCTACGGTTGCGTTTGGCGAATTTGCTTCCCGATTAGCTCACCAGTTGATTTTTAACGACTATCTAACAGGCAGGGTAAGAAGAGATGGTAATGCGGATGGCGATATGGACGACGTCAGCGTCCCTGTCCACTCGCTTCTAGCACTTGGAGATCGCCCTCGATACAAACGACTGAAGAAGACACCCCAGCGAGCACAACGACGATGCAAGATATGCAAGAAGAAGGCCTCGTTTTACTGTGCCACATGCTCAGACTGCAATGAAGAATCCTACTTTGCGCTCTGTCGAACAATGACAGGTAGAACGTGTTATCATCAGCACTTAGAAGCTTCACAAGCTCGCTAGAAGATAGCACAGAACACATATCACTTGAAAATTGGATGAAACCATCACTCTTGACGTTGTCCTACCGGGAGGACTTTTGGGTGTCCTACCGGTGGGTTTTTTGTCAGGCGAACTAAGGTTAAATAAAATGTCGTAACCCTCCCACATCATGACTATATATATGCTAGATAGACATCTCACTAATTTGCTATACAACACGACTTCTGCCTCACACCTTAGCAAGGCAAGGTAGCCTTCTACTCCCACATCATGGTTATATATGTGCTAGATAGGCGTCACACTAATTGGCTATACAACGACACCCCTTACGACTCCCGCCTCTCCTTAGCAAGGCAACATTGCCTTCTCCGTAGATCGCTTCCCAGCAGTTTCCCCTTCTAAATGAAACAATATGTGAGGTTACGGGAATGTGGTTCTTGTCCGACTGGGTCAACATTCACCATTTCTTGGATCGGATCTTAAAAGGTTATAAAGTATTTCGTCGCTTTAGCTCTTCTTTTGTGAATTCAAGGTACTGAGTTATTACAAAAGTACCCAAATATAATATGATACAGGATATCCGAGGGTTTCCGAAGCGCGCTAAGACTATGGATATAAATATCCAGAGAATTTTTTGTAGGCAATTAGTTTCATCCAATCCCGTCACTGTATTTCGATCGGGTGATTATGAAGAGTGCCTATGGTGTCGGGAGCGCCACCATCAAGATGCAACTACGCACGCGAAAGCGCGACTTTGCTGCGTCCGCTGCAGTGACCACTACCAGCAGCGTTTCAAGTACCCAATCCCCAAAAAAACGGACTGTAAGGTCGAAAACTACCTCCTTAGGAGCCACGCTTGCCGGACAGAAGGTCGACGGCGTGGCACCCACCCATTCCAAGTTCCCCGTGCTATCAGCATTGAAAGAACGAGTGAGTCACGCCTCGAGTGACGCTAAAATCTTGCTGCAATACTCGAATTTGGTCCCAGCACGACTTATTCGTCGGTATAAACGGTTCCTGGCCGATGTCGTGCTGCTGGATGGAGCTACCAAAGACAAGAACGAGGTCGTTGATTATGAGGAAGCTGAGGCTGACGAGGTGGTGACTGTGTACTGTCCGAATACGGGACCGATGGTCGGACTGTTAGACGGCCTACCGAACGCCCGCGTGCAGTTGTCAAAGAGCGACGATCCCAAGCGCAAATACGCGTACACCCTCGAAATGATCCAGATCCATGTACGTAACGCTGCAATAACTCGGTTTTATTGCTGAACTGATATTTCTCAACTGGGTTTTATAGAATGGAGAGAAGAACGTGTGGGTTGGTGTGCATTCGACGTCAGCTAACCGGATGGTAGAGCAGGCGCTGGCTTCAAGGTGGTTCACCGAGCTTGGAGACTACGACTCGGTGCGACGCGAGGTCAAGTTCGCTAAGAACAGTCGTGTGGACTTTGTGTTGACTACTAGTCACGCGGACGGCACTATCGCTCACGAGAAATACGTCGAGGTGAAGAGCGTCACTCTCGCTCTACCTGGCGACACGTCTCGTTGCGCTGTATTCCCCGATACAGTGTCCACTCGAGCTCAGAAGCACGTCACGGAGCTGACAGAGTTATTGTCCACGAAGACTACAGCCAAGACTGAGGAGGAGGCAGCCAAAGTGAGTGGAGCTATCATCTTCCTGGTGCAGCGTGACGATTGCAACACATTTGCGCCTTCTATCCAGCATGACAAGAAGTTTGCGGAGCTATGCGCAGTAGCAGCTAAAAGTGGCATCCAACTGCTGGGTTACTCGTGCGCTTTGGAACCTGATGAGGTTAAATCCTCTGGAGTTGTGCGGCTTCTGGGACCTCTGCCATTACAGACAAGGGATTAATTGCTCTTACGTCGTCGCGTATACGAAACTTCGAATGCTCTTGAGCATCACTTCAGCCCAGCTCATCATTTCATCGTGCAGTTCTTGTAATGCCACGTCAGAGAGTGGGAACTCTGGTCGACGGATCTTTAGAAAGATGGCACGTCGCATCGTGACTACCAGCTCTTCTTCGTCTTGGCTTGAATCACTCTTTTTGCTTGCAGTCAACACAATGGCACCTGATGAATCTCTTCGAACGCGCTCTTTACTGTGATACGGATACAGCTCGTCCTCATCAATACAATCCACTATGAAAACCCCGCTAGGTTCACAGCCAAAACCATCGCTCTCTCCGTTAAACATGTGTCGAAACGAGATAGCGTTGCCTTCCACTGCGATTCCCCGGCGGTTGGTAGACACAAATCGACTGTGGAAAGCTTCGTCCTCAATGGTGTCGTAGTCGTCTCGAAGCACGACATGACCGAGTTGCTCGGAGATGACGATTTCCATGTTAATCATGAAAAACGCCAATGCGTCGTAAACTTGCTGGAGCGAATTGACACCAGGAAAGTGAATTGTATCAAAACGGACACAGCAGAGATCACCTTGGTCGTTCTCGAAGCGATTTTCCGAGAAATGAGAAGTGGAGGACTCAACACGGTGCCAAGACGACATGACAAAGTCGTACCCGTTGTGTAACTTGGACTCCCGCATCGCTAGGAGAGTGTTGCGACGTTCGTTCCAATCCTTGGTGAGGCAGATACGAGTGTAGAGGGGATAGTAAGGCTGGTCCATCTAGAGCGCGACACTTAGGTTAGAAATATTATTGTTATTATTATCGGTACGAAGTACTACGTACCAGACATCGTGATAGAGTTGACTGGATCTTAGCGATGTGGTTCTGCTGTAGATGCTTTGCGTACATGAGCGCAGCAAGCTTCACTGCGATCGGTCGCAGAATCGGGTCTTTCTCCACAATAAGGTGAGGAGGCAGGCCTCGAGTCTTGCATACTGCTACTCCAGATTCCAGCATTCGGATTTCCTTTTCCAACATCTCCTGTTTATCGACAAAAGGTTAGTTTAAGTAAGTTTAACGTTTCCTGGTTGTAGGTTAACTGCTCACCTTTTGCTCAGCTCGGCTTAGTCTGCGCCTCTTACTGGAGTGGACGTCATTGTCGCAGCGCCAACCTATGGAGTGCATCTCGTTGGTTCTCACTTCGCACGTTCTGTAGTGAGCAAAGGTACATGTAGTGAATGATAGACCAGGAACGTGGCGCTGTCCAATAACACGATGCCAGTTTAACTTCAACGTTGGGAACGAACGTTGTGGTTAATTTAGGACCAACAACAACATTTACCTAGTTTAATGGTTATCAGGATAAACTAGGACAATAAGAAACGTCAACGTGAAGGTTTACGCAGCGAGCGTGACTCCCTCGATCTCGAAGGTCATGACCGACCCGGCAGGGAACGCAGCGCTGAACGACTTGCCCGAGGGTTTCACGGTGCTGGCCTTGTAGAGCGCTCCCTTGCCGCTGGTCTCGGTAGTCCACGCGTTGATGGGACCCGCCACGGCTGCGAAGCTCGCCAGGTCGAACGTGACCGTCTGAGCGTCGCCCATGTTCACGGTGACGACCACCAGCAGCTTCTTCGCCGAGTCGTAACCCAGCACAGTCTTGGCGTCATCCGAGGCGAGGATCTGCATGCCCGAACGGATGTGACGCGAGTACTGCGCCATCACGTAGTACTTGGGGTTGGGCGTACCGATCCATTTGTCGCCCGGGTTGGACTGGATGAGGCCCCAGCCGCCACTGTCCAGCGCCTGCCAGTACACGAAGCCCGCCACGCCCATCTCATTAATGTCGAGACCGATAGACTCGGCCATGGTGAGTCCTGTAGCGTCCTTCTCGCCGTACTCGGAGTCCCATAGGCTCTTGGTCAACTTGTTGGTGAGATCCTTTAGTCCTCCACGGTCAGGACCACGGTACGCCTCTAGACCCTGGTAGCCGTGCGTGTTAACTTTTTCAAATGATCCCATAACGTCGGCGTTACTAGACATAGACTCCAATGTATGCAACGCCTCGGTAGCCGAGTTCTCGTCAGACGTAGCGATCGCTACATCCTGAAGCTCAAGAGCGTCGAGTTGCTTACGTAGAAGAGGTAGAATGGTCTGCTGGGTATCCACCGAGAAGTGGCATCCTTCCTGCTTGCCCGGGAACTCCCACCAGGTCTCCGAAGGCTCGTTGAACGGCTCAACGAATGTGAACTTGATGCCCCAGTCCGACTTGGCCTTGCTCACCACAGTGGCCAAATACAATACAAACTCGTCGTGGTTCCAGTCCTGCAGATTGTCCTTCTTTCCATTGTCGCCGCCTGCAGTTGCGCGGTTGTTGGTCATCCACCAGGGAGGCGAGTTCGAAAAGGCTTCCAGTTGATTGGCTCCACGTTGATTGGCAAGCGTCAGCATCGCACGCTGCTTGGCGTCAGCCTTCCAGTTCCAGCTTGTAGACGCTGGGTCCTTGCTCATCCAGTCCAACCAGAAGCTCTCCATGAACTTGAACGCTGGCATGTTCTCCGAAGTCTTCATCGCAACCTCAGTGCCGCTGTCATCGACGACGTTGCTGCTCGAACCACCAATGTTGTAGCGCGCAATGTTAAAGCCCAGACCCGGGATGTCTCCAGCACCTTCCACGGTCACAGTCTCGTTCAGGGTGAACAGAGCGTCAGCGATATCCGCGCGGTCTCCAAAGACGTTGGCCCACCAGCAAAGCGATGTGCCCCAACCGTCCCACGTGCCCTGCACCGTCGTGGCGGCATCTGCTTTCACCGTGTAGTCGGCAGCCACCTGCGAGGGGTTGACAGACAGGAGAGCGCAGGCAAGCGCCGAGGCTGCGAGAGACCGAATCGTAAGCATTTGCTGAGCGGTTCAGGCTACTGAGATGAACGCTTATGCAGTTCGAAGCTCAAAAGAAAATGGCATGCTTCTTGTCTCGTCCGAGTCCGAGGTTCGGACAGCATTTCGGCTATGGATCACGATTTCCACGCTCATCACTTATCTTGGGATTGGAGCTCCGGCATGATATTAATAGTACTTACCTAGTAGTACATTCTGACGAGACTGACTCGAACAAGTGATACTACTTTTATATTTTTCTAGTACTACTGCAATGGGATAGTATGACAGAATTTCAAGCTTGCACAAACTACTGACATCTAGAGTAGTAGTAGTTCATTGCTTAGTTTTACTAAAGTAGAGGCAGTAGTACGATGGCTGGGTATTTCACAATCAAACGGAAATACTACCCGATCCCTGACTATGTCTCTACTACTAGAAGTGCAGTAGTATTGATATCACGCTGTGGAGTAAAACCTGCAAAGCTGAGGTGGCAGCGAGTCAGAGGATTCAACACCTAGATGTGCTACGTGGCGTAAATACCCCCAGCACAGTAAGCAGTTTACAGCTTATCGCTCGACACATATCGATAACGCCTCGGCACTTTAAAAATGCGCTCGCATCAGCTCCAAGCAAATATATTTCTTCCACCATGTTTGTGCTGATAAAGTCTATCGATTCGATTCGATTCCAAAGCAAATGCATAAGACTCTCTCGCCAGTCTTGCGTCAGTATGACATGGCAGTACCAGAAACGCTACGTTTTGCAGCTCAGGTCAACGTTTTCTTGTTCCGGTGCGCCATCTGTTTGATTAGTTCCAGCTCTCAATACAGCACTGTTCACATGATGGGGTCCATCAGAGCCATGATAAATTCGACACAGTAGTGACTGTCAACACTCGCTCTCACGCATCTATTTCCTTTTGATCAACAGTATTGTTAATAATACTATCATAAGGCGCCGCTGCTTCACATGACAATGATTCGATGAACAAACTTGACATTCCGCGCACCGGTTGTCCCGGGAACAACAACGCGAAGCGGGAACCCGTGCTCTTTCGGGATACGAGCACCGTTCATTTCATACGCGAGCAGCACACCGGCATCTCGATCCATGGCGGTGGCTGCTGAAATCGACGAGCCGAACGCTCTTCCCTGCTTGTCCGTGTCTAGCGCTTCAAACCGAACCTGCTCAATGTCATCTGTCGAAGTAATTCCAAGACTAGTCAACACGTCGGCAAGCAACACGCCTGTCCACTCCGCCGGAACTCGCGCCGCAGGTTTCCCACTAGATACATCAGTAGCTCTTGGCGCGATGCACCGAATCGTCGACATAACCTTGTGCTGCTTGAACTGTGTTTTCAGATCAGATAAAGACAAGGACACCTCCGTCGAGGCTCCGCAGATTTTCAACTCGAAGGTATCCAAATCCACCTTCGGTGCTGCCGCTGACGCTCCTTCAATGAAGAAAAACTCTTGCAACGCAGTCGATTGCGTTTCCTTGACGTCCTGCATCATATTGAAGTCTTCCTGGTTTAAGTTGCCGATTCTCAGCCCATCCAGCGCCTCGGCCACCCCTGTACGCATGTGAGGCTCTGACTGCTGCCAGAAGAGCTCCACCGACTTGCCTGCCGCTTGAAGGACTTTAGCCCCTCCCCGGTGGTTCCTAGCGAACTCCATTACGTCGTACACTCCATGTTCGTACACAACCCAAGAATGCTGCTGTACCTGCTCCAACGAGAATGTTGGTAACTTCGGTTCCAACTCCCCCGTCACCACAGTATCTTCGCCATCCTGCAGAAGTAACACTGCTCCTGTTGCAGCTCCAGTCGCTGTGAGCGTAGGCAGCACCCAGCGCCGCTTAGAAGATCGCACTGCTGATAACAGGTATCTCGGCATTACCGGTATGAGAATCTCATTGTGATGGCTTTGTTTACGGTACTTTATGCTGTCAAACCCGTATATTGGAGGGCTTGTGACTAAACTTTTTAGATCAGATCAGCCAATCATATGCAGACTTGTTGATGGTTCACTCATTAAAGAGCCATCGATGCCGACGAGTACCTACGTTAGCCCCACGCGTGTGGACAATTTGAATACTGATGCATTGAAAGTGCGCGTGTTTGCCGTTGACAAGCGTCGCAAACCCAGCCACGCAGAGCGGAAGGTATACCTTCCGCGAGCGTACTAAGTTTTAGGAGAATGCTGCTGAAAAATGGGTTGAAAAAAACTGATAATTATTTTTTGTGTGTATTATAGAAGAAGCTGGAGGAGGAGATTCGACTTTTGGAGTCTGGTGTGGTGGTGCTGAAGACCAGAGGCTTGCCGCCGCAGTTGTTGCTGCAGAAGGACCCATTACTACGTCCCGTAGCGGTCGAGTTCTCGACACTGATGTACTCGATAAACACGCAGCAGCTACGAGTTGCCAAGATGCAGTCGGCACTCTCGCAGTGTCTAACAGACCAGCAGTATTATCCTCTCTACAGTCATATTAAATTAACTAAGGACTGGAAAGAGAGACGTGGTACGTTGCTGGCCATGCGAGACCAGAAGATCCGCAATGCTCTAAACTTCGTCATGGGACCAGGAGGTATCAATGATGCCATGAAGAAACAGTCTTCTCAAAACCAGTTTGAGAACGAAGAGGGCGATTTATGCTGTGTTCTCTTCGATACAATTCAGTTTCCAGGAGTTAAGTCGCTCCAACAGGTCTACGACGCTCTGTCGTTCTACAAGAACAACATGGAGATCATCATCACGGAGCAGTTAGGACACATCACGATTCGTGAAGACTACGATGAGGTGAACGAAGCAGCATTCCACACAAGGATACTATCAACGAATGAAGACGGCATTACTACAGAGGGTAATGTGGTGTCATTCCGAGCCATGTTAAGTGATGGATACGACGGTGAACCTTGTGCGGTCATGGTCGGGGACTCGGTCGATGAAGACGACAAGTACCCCTATCTATCTCACAGATACGTCCGCAAAGATATCTCAACTGCAGTGGTGCTCACGGAGAACAGGAATACTGGTGAGAAGTCAGACGTGGTGGTCACAATGCGACGTGCTGCGTTCTACAAGGTCCGTCGACCAGAGTTCCCCGTTACTTTCTGCGAGTTAGAGAACTTGCGTGATGCTACAACGCAATGGTCCGATGTGATGCTCAAGACTATACGTGGAATTCTTTACCCCACAAAAACAAACAATTGAGTCGGAAAAAAAACTTTACTCTTCTTCTTCGTCAGACTCCTCCACATTAACGTGTACTCGATGCCATGCGTTGTTCAGCACACCTCTCATGTTCCAGATAGGTGCGATCGTATCCGGCTGGACGTTGTAAGAAGCATCAACAGCTTTACACATGATATCCAGCTTCTTGGTACCAGGCGGTACCTCCACATCTAATTCCCAAGGAGTCCAAGCCCACGCACGGTTGTACTTTTGGCGTTTCCCTGACTCGTGCAGCTCAGCAGGTGTCCACGTTTTGCCTCCGTCAACCGAGATATCCACTCGAATGATATTGCGACCACCGCCACTCCAAGCATAGCCTTTCACAGTCACGATCGAGCTGTCTGAGGCATCATCTACCAAGTGAATTGATCCGTTCTTAGGCTCCGTAATCGCAGACTGGACTGGCAGTTCTTGAATAGAGTCACCAGCAAACTTCCAGTAGTCATCACGAGAGTAGTCTACGTTAGGTGGGAAGCCTTTGTAGTCGCGCTGTTGCCAGAAACTCGGACTCTCGTCGCTCGAGAGCACGATACGATGCAGGAACTTCACGTTACGAGCGCCTACTGTTCCAGGCACGATGACTCGAAGAGGATAGCCGTGATCTCGTGGGATGGTCTCTCCGTTCATCTCGAAGGCAAGTAGTACGTCCTTCCTGGGGTCCAATGCCGTCGCAACAGGGATCGACGCACCGTATGTGTTGCCTTCCGTATCGGCATCAAGTCCTTCGAACTGCACATGCTGGATGACGGTATTGCAATCATCGCACGTCTCCATGTTCTCTCCCACCTCACACTCACATTCTCCATGTCTGGAATCCTCATCAGTTATACCGATACTTGCAAGCACATCGGAGAGCAACACACCCGTCCAGTTCGCTGTAGATAAGGCAGTAGTATCCCAACTCAATCCATTCACCTGCTTCACACCCGACATCTCTGCCCGTCGATTGCCAGCACATTGCACTGTCGTAGTCACCGTGTGGTGTTTAAACTTGCTCTTCAAGTCGTCTAGTGTGAACTCTATCTGCTTCTCCCTACCAACTCCCAGTCCGGAGATCTTTAGTGTATACTTCTCGATATCCACTTCAGGCACTGGTAGGTGGTTGCGCACGAAGAATAAATCGTTCGGAGTGATGAACGACTGCATCAGCAGCTCAGCTGGAGGCTCGGCATTGAATGGCATACTGGAATTCACTTTAAGTGCCGGGTGACGCGTAGGATCTCTACTGTACGGTCCGTCGCCGTACCTCTCCTTCCTCAATTCCTCGAGCATCTCCACGTCTTCTTCTCTTAAGTTGCCAATCCGCAACTTCTCCAATATCTTGTGCACATCTGCGTGGTTATGAGCAGCGTAAAGCTGCCAGAATGGCTCGATGGAGCGGCCAGCAGCCAATAGGATCTTTGTACCGCCAGGGTGCGACGCGATGAACTTGGTGATGTCGTAGACGCCGTGCTTGTAGACGACCCACGTGCCGCTCTTATTCGCCCCCGTGTGCTTCTGTACCTCATCGAACGAGAATGTTGGTAGATCGGAGCGCACTTCGCCTGGAGTCACAGGAGCGTCATCTTTCTCGGTTGGTTGTTCGCATAGAGCAGAGGACACTGCTAATCCAGCAGCTAGAGCTCCGACGAAGCGGAACTTGAAAGAAGTGGAGGGATCTCGATGGCGGTGGTTCCACTGAGGGTAAGCAGCTTGAAGTGGGGCTCCAGATGATGCAGAGAGGGAGCGAGGTAGGCGCCGAAGCACAGTCTTCAGCATGGTAGTTTGGAGTCGACCGATTGATTCCGGCCAATTGTAAACGAGCAGGCGCGTGTCGGATGTTGTTGAATCACCAGTCGGTGGCGCAAGCATAATCGCCGATCCGAAGGTTCATTCCTGTAAAACTGCATACACTATTAATACTTATTATAATGTCCAAGATATTTACCTTATTGCTGAAAAAAAATCTGGTAGCCTTGGATAATTTATATGTCATTCATTTCAGCTCAGAGTAATCAGTTGTGGCAGAAGTCAGTGGGGAGAATACGCCCCCGCCACCGAACTACCATCATTCCCTCGCGCCCCAGCCACTCGTACGTCACTCCAGCTCACTTCCAGTTTCACTCCCTGTATCACAAGTATGCCCGAGACCTCTACCACTTTGGCCGCTGTGTCCACCGCCGCGAGCGTAGGTCTCGCGCTCTACGTGCTCAAGTTGCGTGCGGATATTGCCGCCTCTGCCAATGGCAAGAAGACAGTCAAGACCGTGACCAAGACGACGGCGCGCAATGCCAACGGCGACAAACTCTGGACCGCCGAGGAGCTCATCGCCGAGCGCCGCAGCATCTTCCCGCCTGACTACGACAGCACCAAGAAGGTGCCTCGCGAGGTGCTGGATAAGATGCTGGCCGCTGCAAATTGGGCCCCTACACACGGCAAGACGGAGCCCTGGCGCTTTGTGGTGTTCGAGGCGCCCGAGAAGCGACTGGAAGTCGGCCAACTCATGGCCGATTGGTACAAGACCAACGTGCCGGCTGACAAGTTCATGGAGTCTAAATACAAGAAGATGATCTTCAACTGCACGGCCTCGTCGCACGTCATCGCAATCTGCATGAAGCGCCAGAAGAGCGGCAAGATCCCCGAATGGGAAGAAATGTGTGCTGTTGCTTGCGCCGTGCAGAACATGCATCTGGTGGCCACAGCACACAACGTCGCGGCGTACTGGAGCTCGGGTCCGCCTATTACTTTGGCGCAGGAGATGAAGGACCACCTGAAGCTGGAGGAGGCCGACAAGTGCCTCGGTCTTTTCTACGTTGGTGTGCCGAAAGAAGACGCCAAGATCCCTAAGGTCGCTCGCAAGCCTATTGAGAACAAGATCACGTGGGTATCGGCGTAGTTAAAAACTCAATAGAATATGAAAAGCTTTTGGGTCAATTTACTACCTACGAAGACTTCAACATGCAAATGACATCAATTACAGCGAGCGCAGACGCTTTCTGAATCTGCATGGACTTGGTGCGTACGACCACGGAGCCACAGTGCCCGGAGCATAAGTTTCTGGTGCTGCCGTGAACCAAACCGGGGACGGAGTTACAACCACGGGAGCTGTTGTTATCGGAGCCGCTGTGGGTGGTACAAAAGTTGGAGCTAACGTCGGCGCTGACGTCGGTGCTGAGGTTGGTGCTGAAGTTGGTGGTGAGGTTGGTGCCGAGGCTGGTGGTGAGGTTGGTGCCGAGGTTGGTGGTGAGGTTGGTGCCGAGGTTGGTGCTGAGGTTGGTGCCGATGTCGAAGGTGTCGACGTCACAGTGACCGTGCCCGAGGTCTCACCGATCTTCGGCATCCCCAGCTCTTTGACGAAGTATCCTTGGTCCCATAGCAGCTTGAAACCATCGTAGAAGAACGAGCCTGCCGCTTGGCCACCCCAGCAGTAGCCGTCGCTCTCTCCAGGAGGCTTGATCCACATAAAGTAGTCAAGATTAGAGTATCCCGTGCTCGACGTAGGCGGCTTGCCAATGCCAGCAGTGGGGATGTTGCACCAATCAGTCGTGGGAGAACCATTGTAGTTGCGACTGGTATCGACAATACAAGACATTGCAGTGGATCCCATGGCATTTTGAAAGTTGGTACAGTATCGAGCACACTCGTCGTTCGAGCGGTAGTTGGACGTGTTAATAGTGACCCCCTTAACGCGTCCGGAACTCCCGATATCTTTCATAGCAGTGGCCACCTTAGCAGCGCTATCGGTATACGCTAGCATCCAATATCCGACATCCAGGTAAAGCTCTGCGTTGGGGTTCATGGACAGCGCCTCAACTGCGACCTTGAGATTCTCGAGGTATCCCGCGGATGCACCACATCCGTTATCTTGAGTCAGGAGGCCCACCGCATCAGGTTCGACGACGTAAAGCACCTTGCGATCACCGATGGTATCCGTGAGCTGCTTCAAGAAGGTTTGGTAGCTGTTCGTGTCTGTCACGCTTCCGAAGGTGGAGAATCCGCCCGCGCAGTCTTTTTGAGGGATACCATACACCACAATACTGAGACGACTGCTCTCTGGACATTGATTTAGCATACGAGAGAGCAAACCAGCTCGCTCTTCAGTTGACGACCGATCCGTGAACCATGAAGCGATGGCGTAGTTCTCGAGTGTCCCCAGAGCTGTCGATAGCTCTGGATAAGTCGACTTGGCCACGGTGTAGGTGTACGGGACGACGGAGCATAGCTCCTCCGCACCAACGAAAGATAGAGCGAGCGCAACGCAAGACACAACGGCAGTCACCAGACGAACGTTGCCGAGCATCGTGCGAAACTTCAGACGCCGAAAGCTTGCCGAAGTTGAGTTGTAGTTGGTAAATAGTAGAATGAAGCGTTGCTGTGTGCGAGACCGCAAGATACCCAGCAGTTTGGTCGAACCAGAAGGCGATAACGTGCGAAACAATCGTTGGATCCGCCATCGCGAGTACAGTGGCCGTTTCTAGTAGAGCACAACTAAGCTCTCTCTGTCAGATACTCGATTTTTCACCAGGACACATCGCAAAATCCACTGCTTTACTCTGAATACAACGCGATTGAGAAGGGCTTCTCGTTGTTCGAGCATATTCGCTGGAACTATTGTTGAATGCGATTAAGACACGAAACATGCGATGGTGTGCTTGGATTCTGGTGAGACCAGACTGCTACTTGGATTTGTTGGCGAAACTAGTACCGACATGAAACCGAGGAAGACTCAACCGGGCTCGCAGCAGCTTCGTCGAACAAGCCAACCACCGCGCCGAAGTCACATGGTCCTAGACGCACGAAGATGGCGCTTGCTCAGCAAATTATTTGTTCACAAGTTGGGAGCAGATCTGATTCCAACTTCAACATGTCTAGTTTTTAGTTTAGATCTGACGATTTCAGATTGATTATCTTTAGTTTACAGATAATGACACGATATAGACATGTCAGTGGCAACCGCGCATATCTCACATCACTAGTGCGTAAAACGCTGTTATTGCTTGGTGTACCAAGAGCTTATTATTATTATTTTGATAAAAGGATGTTACCCTTGAGAGTTGATGGTAGTAAAGACCAATTTCGGGCTGAAACTGCTTGCTATTCCTGCTTGTCATGATCCGAAATTTGAAATCTCAATGTTGACAGGCTTGAATCGTGACTGAGGCGCTGGATCACCTTTAAGCGCGAGCAATGGAGGATCTTGTCGACGCTTCGCTTATACCCGACGAGAATGGGATACTGGACTTGCAGGACAAGCACTGGGTGACGCTGGACGAAGTCGTGTGGACCTACGCACACGCACTGTTGGTGCTCAATGTATCGCGTAACCAGCTCGTACACATTTCTGAATCTATTGGCAACCTAGAACTGCTCCGTGAGCTTTTGTTGGCCAACAATCGCATCGCGTCACTCCCTGTACAGATCGCTCGCTGTGTGAATTTGCGCAAGTTGGATCTCCACCGCAATCGCCTGGAGCAGCTCCCCAGTGAATTACAGTATTGTGAGCGCCTAGAAGATCTGGATGTGTCCTACAACGACCTCACAACGATACCGCCAGAGCTCGGACGGCTGCAACACCTTCGCGTGCTCAACGTGCGCTACAACAAACTCACTTTACTTCCACACACGCTATGCGACTGCCTATTACTAGAAGAAGTTTGCTGCGAAGGCAACGATGGACTCACAGATATTCCTGAGTCTTTACGCAGCAACACAAAGCTGGTGTTGTGGATCTGTAGCACCGTCAAGCGACATCGTGCAGAGGTGACGGAGTTAATTGAGATCAACAGCGAGTTGGAGCGCATGGCGCGACTTGGAGACGAAGAACGACTGAAACTTCGCGAAGAGATCAGCGACTTACAACGCAAAAAGCAGGCATTAGAAGACGAGCGGCCACACAACTACCTGTTCGTCAAAAAGCACGTTGTGAGGGTCACATCCGAGGTGTGCAACTTGATGTAGCCATCTCGGCACACGTCACAGATTTATTAACACCTAACCTCGCGATTTAAAATTCGAATCCCGACCAATCAGCACGCATTATGAGAGTCACTCTTTCTATACCCTCCTTTCACTGACATCTCTTTTTGAACGAAGGGAGAGGCCACTCGATATTCGCGCGCGCGGGCAAGAGCGAAGTGAGAGACGCCATGGAGCTGCAACAGGACGCGTTGGACGAGGCCTTCCGCCGCCACAAGCAGTACTTTGAGCAGTTCCTTGATAATGATGTGCGTGTGCGGTGCTATTCACCTCATTTTCCGGTCTTTTGGAGCTTCGTATTGACTCGTGTATCATTGACACAATGACAGGGAGGTTACGGCAATTACTCGGAGAAGTTGAGCAGTATGATCCACAAGAAAAGCACGCGATTGATCGTAGACCTCAACGACCTCCGCGAGTACGACAGTTCGTTCACGGATCCGGCGGTAGGCGGCCAGGACAATATCGTGAACCGGTTATTGCGTAACCCTGCCGAGTTCGTACCCCCTTTCGAAGAAGCAGTCAAAGAGAAGGTCTTCAACATCGATAGTCTTTACGGTGGCAAGGAAGCTGACGCTACTAAGGACATGCGGTTTCACGTGGGCTTCGAGGGAGACTTTGGCCACCACAATGTGAATCCTCGCGGACTCTTGGCTTCGTACCTCACACAAATGGTGTGTGTCCACGGTATTGTCACCAAATGCTCAGCTGTACGCCCTAAGGTCGTGCGCTCTGTGCATTACTGCAAAGAAACGAATGCTATTCTATCCAGGGAGTACAGAGACAACACGTCCATCACAGGAGCCCCAACGTCCAGTGTGTATCCGACCAAGGACGAGAACGGCAACTTGTTGGAGACGGAGTTCGGACTATCTCAGTACAAAGACTACCAGATGATCAGCATGCAGGAAACCCCCGAGACTGCGCCTCTGGGACAGCTTCCCCGTTCGTGTGAGGTTATTGTGGAGAATGACATTGTGGACAAGTGCAAGCCCGGTGACCGTATCCGAGTTATCGGTATCTACCGTCCACTCGGCGGTAACAGCACAGCGTCATCTACCGCGGTATTCAGGACAGTTCTCATCGCTAACAACATCCAACTTATGGGCAAAGAGGTGAACGGCATCGTCATGTCCGCTGCAGATCTAGTAAACGTCCGTGAGTTCGCGAAGCGTGACGACGCCTTTGAGATGCTGTCACGTTCGATCGCGCCGTCCATCTACGGCCACGCTGAGATTAAACAAGCGTTACTGCTTCAATTGCTTGGTGGAGTGGAAAAGAACCTGGAGAACGGCACGCATCTCCGTGGTGATGTTAACGTAAGTGTATACGATACGAGAGATATTGATCCTGTTGCTTACCGTGTTGTCGTACGTTATAGATCTTGATGGTGGGAGACCCGTCGACTGCCAAGTCTCAGCTTCTACGTTTTGTGCGGACGATCGCTCCTCTAGCCGTCAACACCACAGGTCGTGGATCGTCCGGTGTGGGTCTGACAGCTGCTGTGACGATTGATCCCGACACAAAGGAGCGTCGTCTGGAAGCTGGTGCGATGGTGTTGGCTGACCGAGGCATTGTGTGTATTGATGAGTTCGACAAGATGAGTGAAGCGGATCGAGTGGCTATTCACGAAGTTATGGAACAGCAGACAGTGACGATCGCCAAGGCTGGTATCCACGCCACCTTGAACGCACGTTGCAGTGTGTTGGCAGCGGCTAACCCCGTGTATGGTCAGTACAACAAGAACAAGAAACCCCAGGAGAACATTGGTCTACCAGACTCGCTGCTATCGCGTTTTGACTTGTTGTTCGTAGTGCTGGACCGTCTGGACCGTGGCGCCGACCGGAACATCTCGGATCATGTGCTGCGAATGCACCGGTATACTCGTCCAGGCCAAGAAGGTGTACCATTGTCGTTCGAAGTGAGCTCTACCGACCACATGGCGCTTCTCAGCGAGACCTCAGGCAACCGAGCCGACGATGCCAAGAAGTCTATTTTCCAGAAGTTTGATCCTTTACTGCACGGCGGGTACCAGTCTTCATCGTACGCCGGCAGCGGCAACGGTATCCTGACGCTAGACTTCCTCAAGAAGTACATTTATTACGCCAAGATGCGGTACCAACCGGTGCTGACAGACAGAGCCATCGAGTTGATCTCGGAGGGGTACGCAGAGCTTCGATCGCAGCAGAACGCGCGGACTTTACCTGTGACGGCGCGTAGTTTGGAAACACTCATCCGTCTAGCTTCAGCACATGCTAAGGCGCGTCTGAGCAAAACGATCGAAGCAGTGGACGCAGAGAAGGCCATGTCACTCATCAGCTTCGCGCTGTACCATGACGCGTCCGAGCCGCACTCGAATGATACAAGTGCTCCGTCAAGGCCAGAGGAGACACCGGAACTGCCCGTGGTTGGGACTCAGAAGGCTATGGCAGAGCTGGAGATCGAGACGCCAGTGACACCCGAGAAGTCAAGGAAACGAGACCGTGGAGCATGGAGGTATGTCTTACAAGCTCTGATTTGTTGTGTGTGTATTTCTGACTCGCTTTGTATTGATGTGGCTACAGTACTGCTACCCTTGCGGACGACGTACTGGCTGTCTTGTCCGATATGGGCAGCGACGCTAACATGGACGATGAGAACGACAGTATTAAGCTGACAAACATTCTGTCGAGACTGAATGATGGTCGATCCAGAGGCGACGAAGTACCGGTTGCTGAGTTAGAAAAGGTGTTGGTGGAGCTGGAAGAGATGAACAAGGTCATGTACATCCAGGACGGAGGAGATCCGATGGTTATGCTCATTTAGGTAACTCCATGGATCCCCCCGGTAGGTATGAGGTTTTATATTTTGTTTCTGGGAAGAATAAAAACAACATCAAGGCGTATTCTGTGCAGTTGGTTGATGATTTTTTTTTATGGCTTTTCGTCTTTATCGTTCTCTTGGTTGTTGTATTGGATCAGAGTGACGTCCACGTAGTCTTCCATACTGTTGAAGGCGGTGAAGTGGCTCCAAGGGTTCGTCTCCTTATCCTCTGCTGGTTTGGTGCTTGTATCTTGCTGCGCTGTGGCTGTCTTGGCCGCGTTCTTGGCCTTCTTAGCGTGCTGCAGCGGCACCGACATCGACACCCTCGTCGACAGGCGTCTTGCCAACATGGTTGAATTATGAATATTAGCCAATCAGTTCGATGTGAAAGGGTGGCTCGTCACGACTCACGAGGCGCGTCATTGTAGGATAACTGCCGCAAAACCTTTTTAGAACGATCTTCCTGTTATAATCTATTTTAACATTCTCATTTTGCAGATTTCCATTCAAATTGTAACCTTGCTTAATTAATTTATTTTCAGGTTGTATAGTTTTGACTTCTTACCGCTGTTTGACACTCTCATATTGCTTACTGCGAATCTGCCCGCGCTCATTTCATTCCTCAACATTCCACAAGATGCTCGCAAGTACACTCCGCCGCTCCAGCGCCCGCGGGCTTCCGCGCAACATCGGCCCCGGCCGCCGTGTGCTCTGCTCGGCACCAAAGGAACGCACCGTGAGCGCTTCCATCCCACTCGGCGTCGGTGTCGCTACTGGTACGCTAACCCGCTCTACCATCAAATCGTGCGCTTTAGTCCGAATAATGACGTCTACTGCTGCATTTCCAACTGCTCCTCAACTGTAGGCGGTATGGCTGGTATGGTTTCGGCGCTTACAGGTGTCGGTGGAGGCATCATCCTCATTCCGGTGGGTTTTTATACGATGCCACGCTTCTCTAATAACTATGCTAACTGATGCCATTGTCTTCACTTTCCAACTGTAGGCGATGGCCAAGTTCACGTCGTTGTCGCAGCAGGCCATCAACGGTACTTCTCTGGGTGCTGTGGCCATTGCTTCCTCTGTTGGATCTTGGAATTACCTCCAAACGGGATCCTGCAACGTGCCATTGGCACTCACCACGACTATCCCAGCTATCATTGCTACTAAGTACGGTGTTCGCACTGCACACCGCCTCACCAGCAAGAAACTGTCGCTCGTAGTAGGCACAGCCTTGCTGTTCTGTTCACCACTGATCTTCCTCAAGAACAGCCCATACATGCCCAAGTGGAGCGACAACCAAGACCCACTGGATCTTCAGTTCTTCGTCCCTCAGCAAAAAGACTTCAACAAGGCTCGAGAGTCAGTTAAGGAAGGTGAAGAACACCCGTCCGTTGCAGCCACGTCCGCCGCAGTATCTGCTGAATACATGGAGCGCGTAAAGGCTGACTGGGTGGGCTTTGCCAAGGTGAACGCCAAGTACGTGGTCGCTGGAGCTGCTGCAGGGTTCATCTCGGGACTCTGTGGACTAGGTGGAGGTGTCCTCATCACCTCCTACTTGACTGCTGCAAGTGATATGCCACAAGCTACTATCATCGGTACGTCACTCCTATCAGTAGTGCCCACAGCTGCATCGTCGACGGTGTTCAACCTACGGGCCAAGTCAATCCATCTGCCAACCGCTGCACGTATCGGTGGCTCGCTGGCTGCTGGAGTGTACATCACCTCCAAGTACATTACCCACGACGTACCTGAGGACGTTCTACGTGGCGTATTGGGCACTACACTTGGTGCTGCAGCTCTCGTCATGATGCGTCGTGCCATTTAGACTTCGTAACTACATGTAGACAGGTAGAGGAAAGCACTGCATTGTTTACGACTCGTTTAGCTCTCTCGCCACACCAAGTTTCACTTGTTTTTCTTCTTCTCGTACACAGGCTCCAAGGTGGTTGGATCCACTCCGAAGATGTCAACGAAGTCCACAGTCGGGATGCCCCAGCTCGTGGTCATTTGCACGAACACACGGCGTAAGAGCATCCCTTTCTTGCCATTGATGGTAGTCAACGCCATCACATTGCCGTGTTTGTCCAGACGTAACACGCAGTCGCGGTCACGCAGCGACGCGATGCTCGCCAAGTGTTCACCCGGCACATCTGACGGCTTAGAGGTAACACCGTATGCTGTGTTCCGCTCAATCATGTTGAGATCCTCACGTGGATTGCCCTCCTTTTCATACATGATCCAGTACACTTTGATCGGGGTCGTCGTGTCCAACGACTTGCCGTCGGCCGACTTAACCCCAGCATACACAACTGTATTCGAGTTCTACCATCATAAAAAATATTAGCAACTTGTTTAAAACATAAAAACGCTTTTCACTCACATTGCTACGTTGGATGATGAAGGCCACATTGGGCTCCTCCTTGGCCACCACCTTCAAGTTCTTGTCCATAGGCAACACCTTCGAGTTCTCCGTCTGCTCCACATCAGCACTAGCAGCACTAGACAACACAATGATTAGCCATGCCTCATTGTTTTCAGTTTGTTCCATTACCCACCTCGCTTCCTTTTTCTTCTTCTGTTGTTTCTTTTTGGCCTTGGGGGACACTACCGCTTCCTTGCCGTTCTCCTTGGGTTTTCCATTGGCAGCTGCAGCCGGTTTCTCTTCAACTACCGCAGCTCTGGGTGAACTGACGGGTGTTTTGCTTTTTTTCTTCTTTTTCTTCTTGAGTGGGTCGCTTTTGCTCTTCTGGATGAGCCTTTGCTTCTCTTTAATGAGTGCATCGACACCTGCCAGCTCCTTTTCGATGGCCTTGCGTCGTGCCTCAAGTTCCTTGACTTCGTCCTCCAATAACGAAGTCATATCCTGCTGCTCGCGCTTGAGAGCGGCCTCTAACGCCTTAATCTTGCTCTCACGCTCATCCAGCTCGCTCTGCAGTGCGCTCACCACGAACTGCGCCTGCTCCGTCGTTTCGTTGCCCCACAGCCAACTCATGTCTAATAGATTGCGACAGCGATACTATACGATGTACTAGGTGGTCTTGGCCCCGATCCAATGAGCTCCTCGTGACGTGGCGGTGCCCGATTGCTACAGATTCGAGTCAGCAGATGAGGGTGGACCGACGTCACTATAAACTATTAAGTCATTCATTCGGGGTAAAACATAAAACGTAGCCATTTTGATGCACTTTAGGGTCAGCGATGACGTAGTTTGCGACTTTCTAACTTTCTGAACTGGGAGACGGCGTGGTCGTCGGTTGCCTTGCTCTTGCCGACTGCACGCAGCAAATTATCAAATAAAATATCAGTACCAGACAGTAAACGACAGATAATTACACTTCGAGCCCAAACCTTGACGGAATCCACGCTCACGTTGCTCATCTGCAAAGTAAAACATTCGTCAAACCACTGTCCGCGTCCATCCACAATATATACTCGTACCTTTATTCAGGCTCTTCATCTCCGCAACGTAGTCAATCTTGTGGCGATTAAAGTCGGTGCTAAAGTTGCCCGGAACGATGGAACTTGTGAGGCCTCCGATCCCATCCAGCTTCGCTGCACCTGTTTTATTCGCTTCCAATGCTCTCCTAGTCGCTTTCTCCGTCTTCTCCGCAAACGACGATGGGAGTTCTACCTCTGCAATACCTGTATTTCCCATCAACATGCCTCCTTCTGTTCCCACATCGAAACTCTTGCTGCTACTCGGCAGATCGGGGTTTAAGTGCTCCGGCAGTTCAAACAACTTGTCCTCTGCAGTCTTAAGAGCAGCTGCTGCGTCATTGACGTTTACTGTGTCCTGGCGAGCCTCCATTTTTCTCTTTTTCTGTAGTCTCTCCTCAATAAATTTGTTCAAGAGCTCCTCATGCTGATCCTTGTCGGTCGTGGCACTTTGACCCGTGAACTGTCCGTCTAGCAGCGTCAGCAACTTCTGATTGGTGGATCCGTCCTTCTTGGGATCGTGCAGTCCATAGTGACTCGTGTCTGCGGCTGCCTCCGCCTTCTTCTGTGTCTTCTTGGCTGCCTCCTGCTTTTGAGTGGCCAACTCCTCTCTAAGGATCTGGTCGCGTAGTTTTTGGTCCTCGCGTAGCTCCTCTATGGAGCGTTGGATCTGCTCTACGTCCACGTCATCGCCTGCACTACTGGTAGAGGCATCTTCTGTGTCTTCGAGAGGCCGACGTGAGCGTTTACGGCCACCAACGGAACGCTTGCTCTTCTTCTTGAAGCTCACCTCCATCCGTCACTTTTGGCTCAAGAAACCAATAGAGATGAGGACTGTGATTGGATGAAAACAAAGTGATGTGGCGCACACAAGTCAAATTTCGTGTGGGACGAGCATCGAAATCTTCCAATAAAAACTACACAAAATATACAGGCTATCTGGCTGATGCAGACCTCTTCATGGCGGTGATGGCACGAAAAGCAGGACGTTCCAAGTTGGAGCTTCCAACAGTGACGTCGTCAGTCATGCAATCGACGAAGCGGGTCGGCACGGCACGCTCTGGTCGTGTGAGCGCAGCGCGATGCGACAATCGAAGATTCCCACTTTTTTTTCAGCTCACGATCCAAACGGAAGCTTGCAAACACGCGAAATTGGAACAGCCTCGAATAAGCGACTGCCAAGCTCCTCCATTGACCGAAGAAGGAAATGGAGGGTTTCAGGGTCTCCTCTGTATATCGGAACCCACTCGCTCGGCTGTTTCGGGGACACTCACAGCCACAGCTTTCTCGTATAACGTCTCAGTGAAATCCATAACGTCGGCGACTATTATATTAGACGGCCAGGTGGATTGTCAGCTGCTGAAAAGCTAATGTTGACTTTTTTCATCCGATTCTCCCGCCTGCGGAATGGACGAGCACGCAAATGGTTCTGCCGCACCGTGCTGGCAACGAGGAAGAGATCGAGGTCTTTAGCCTAGGGACACTTAAAAACCCTTGTCTGCACTGCGATTTTCAATTGCAGTCTCACGTGGCCGTTAGCGCGCGCCAGTCGCGCCCAGTCAATTGGTGTGCGTGAAAGCCACGCCGCTTCACCAGCGTGAGAAATCCCACGTTGTGACCGCCGCATCCATTCTCGCTCGAAATTAAATATTACAGGGCACAAAATCAGAAAATATGAATCAAGTGCATCGAGTCATAAAATTCTATCTCGCATTCTACCATTTATCACAGGTTTATCCAAGTCGCTCCCGCATGTGTTCAGTTCGTTACAAACCACAAACCTGATCAAACGATCACCCGATTAGGTACGAGTAGCTCTCCATCCCCCCAATACAGCACTCGAGGCAGTGCCACTAGTCAAAAGCATGGCGCCCACGCCGTCGACCGCCGCTCCGCGCGCGGTACTGGAGCCCAGCTGGCCAGCCGCAGACCGCTACAGCGTGTACGACAGCTACGACCCCGAAGTGCCGGCCATGATGGATGCGCATGGCGAGGAGCTCATGCCACGTCCGAGTCTCTTGTCCTTCCGCCCTTCGCGCATGTTGCGAGTCTCGCAGCAGCAGCAGCAGAACGCCGTGTACAAGGCGCAACTCCTGCGAGCCATGGGACGCTCCAGCGAGCGCACTTCCGACACTAGCGACGACGATTGGTATGAGCCCAGCGACGCTGGAAGCTCCGACGCCGGGAGTTCTTACTATCCGTCTCCAGCTGCGCGTAATCGCGACCAACGCGCCATCTCGACGGTAGACGAGGAAGAGGAGAAGGAGAACTACGTCAACAATAGCAACAGACTCAACCGGGCCGAGTCGTTGCTTGCCGTTATGGCTATGCCGGCTTCCGGACCCATTCCCCTTCTGGAAAGGATGGAGAGCGAAGACGACGACAACGACATTGATACCATCATCTGTGACCCGTCGAGACTCCCTCGGACGCTTATTGTGGACGAGGATGGCTTCTCGATCTCTAGAGAGAGCGTCATGATGCGCGCAGCCACTGTGCCGCGGGGAGGGGTCATCAAGTCCGGATTACTGTTTAAGCAAGGTTTCGGACTACGTTCCGGAGGTTGGAAGGTCCGCTTTGTAGTCCTTACTAGTACGAAAATGACTTTTTTCCGCGAGGAACACGGTCGTAAACGCGGAGAGATCGACTTGGCTAAGTGCAGCCCCAAGAGCATCGAGATCATGCCCCGTGACTCCGTGTTTGACGGCTCCCAGGCCACGATGTGGAGGTTTGCTATCCGCGGCAAGAAGGGCCGCGTATTGCTTAGTGCCTACACGGAAGGAGAGATGAAGGAATGGCTTAGATGTCTCCATGTGGCGCTGGCTGCCCAGGGCTCCGGCTTCGGCCGCTTCACGGACTTTGTGGTGCCCAGCGGCACATTCCTGGCCGAAAGGAGTGGCGGCTTGATGCGTTCGTCGGGTGTTTCGTAAAGCAATTGGTTTTGAGTGAGAAGGGAGTGAGAAGAGAGTAAAAGGAGCCTCTTCCGGAGGCTTCACCGCAGTCCGAAGCGACGGAACGTTCGGAACTGCTCTATGCTGCCGACCTGAGTGTTTTAAACGCCGCCATTGTAATTTATGTTTGAAACCTCCGACGTCAATTAGCGGCTAATTTAGCCGCCTTCAGTTTGCTGTCATCCTCATGTTTAAAATGAAGTTTTTACTGGTTTTAAACCTGATGGCAAAGCTGCATGTTACTACATAACGTACTTGGCAGGCAGATTAGCTAGGAACACGAGTGCCAGGATAAGCAACAGCACGTCCGAGTGGTGCACCATGAGCATCTGGAAGTCCAAAGATCTTTGAGTCTTGACTATTGCCGCCGGATTGAATTGGTGACGTGAATGGATACCGTTCTTGAGACGCTGAAAGGCGAGTTTCTTACGATTGAGGCTCGCTTGCAACTTGAGAGACTCGAAGACTCGGAACTTAAGCGCCAAATTGGGTGCACTCGAACGACGGCGTTGAGTTTTAACGAGGTCGAGCAGTGCTCGCAGCACCTTACGGCAAACCACTCGATCCCTTATTGACATCTCGTCAACGGTACTCATGTACTCGGCACGGTGAAGAACGTCCGAGAACTGTGAGCCCCGATCGGCTCGAGTATCGTCGCTACTGGCATCACTTTCAATAGATGACTGTACTGTCGACGCGTAGTCGAAATCCGCAGCGCAATGCTTGCAAGACGTTGAGGATTGAGCAAAATTCAACGACGACGAGGAGTCCTCAGGGTAGTCGAAATGCACTGGACGAATATCTTCAAGCTCGTGGATCTCGTTAGCACAAGCGAGCAAAAATTCCTTGCAGTGGTGCAGCGAATTGGCTCGAGTGTTCGTTTGCTTTCGAGGACTCAGTGGGATTGGTGTTTCCCAGTTCGAGTTTGAAGATTCCGAGTCGTAACCGAACAATGGCATCGTGATAGACTCGTGCAGGCCACGGAGAGCTTGGATGGTTGCACGTTGCACGTTTGGCTCAGACAACGGTAGAGCAGCAGCAGCTTGGAGAATTTCATGGGCTCCGGTGAGAGCGTTCACGTCCTGGTCCAGTAATTTCAGGACAGCCTGGAGGACTGAAGCGCGAAGCTTGGCTTTCAGCGGGCCATGAAGAGGAGACGATGGCATAGGATCAAGCTGTGCGGAGGCATTCTGGAGGTGCTTCTTGATCGGTGACTTCGATGTCGTCGTGGTCGATTGTTTCAGAGGCTTGCTGGGCGATTGAAGCTGAGGCTTCCCCACACGCTGCATTTGTAGATTCGACACCGGTCGGATCATTGCTGAAGTGGCTTGGGTTGAATGCTGTAAATTGGATTATGGCAAATACAACGCTACTTACGATCCCGAGCCTCTAGGCATCCTTCTATCGGTGGCTTGTCCGCTAGAATTCCTAGCCTAGGAACCATCAAGATCTGGTTCTGTTACCTAGACCCCGGTGATCTGATCCATTCCGGAGTTCAGGACGACAACTTTGCTTTATATAGCGATGGAAACCGCGGCTTCGAACGGTTGTCGAGGTTGGAGGTTCTTGTCCCCGCTTATTTAAAATTTCCGTCATGGGTTTGAAAGCAGATGTAAGTACTGCCGACGCCAACATGGAGGTGTTCACACGGCGTCCAGTTGGGATGTCAACGTTGGATTTATTAGGTTGCTCTTCGTCCGACGGAGTTACCGCGTGGAATGATCCAGCCATCCCTGCAAAAGTTCGTCGAGAGATGCATCAGCTGGTTAAAGCCGACTTGGTCGAGTCGCTACGTCCTCAACAGGTGCGTTAGAGATCCGTAAACTCTACTCCAACTCTAACTCTAACAGCACTTCACGAATACAGATTGACAGACCGCGAATGAATAATTTCAGTACTCTCGGACTACCCAAAGATCCTCCGCCACTCGGTGAACAAACTACCAAATCTAAGCACAAATTCGTGCATGGAACACCCACTCAACGTCGATTGATCGGGGGTAAGCTTATCCGGACTTCGGATCTCGAAAGCACGTTAAGCTCCTCCGTTTCAGCTCCAGAACTCTATCGAGGGATTACTCGCGAAGTCAAGAGCTTAAAAAATCAACCGGAGATTGAACAGGACGCTCTTGACGTCGCTCTAAAGTCCAGTACTAGTCCAGAAGAGAACCCGAAGACTCCACCGCAACGCGAAATGAGTCCAGCTGAGAAAGAGCGAGTAGCCTTACGCCAGCAAGAAAATCTGCTGCAGTCGGAGCTTCTGCGCGTCAGTCGAAAACTCTCGCGAAAGTATCAGAAGCAGCTTAACCCTCGAAAAAATTTGACAACGTGTAAGATCCACACTTTAGCCCAGAAATGGGAGGAGCACGGGCAGCAAGAAGAGGATGCACGTGTCAATCATGAGCGATACAATTTGTACGTTGCAGGCCGGTTCTCGACGCAGATGGAGCTGGATTACTATCAGCGCAAGATTGAACCTCGTGAACCTGCTACAGACAAGCATCGTCGTCCAACGATGCACTCCAAGTACGGCAATGCATTAGCTAGAAACAAATGCAGTTTACGCGGACCTTTCTAACGGAAATTTAAAGTAAATTTCAGGAAATATATCCAGGTTATTGGTAATAGGAGCCGATACGTGTAGTTGAGAGGAGGTGCTTGACGCGTTCATCTTCAGCGGAATATTTTACTACAGCCGGTGTGAAGTTCACATGCTCTTGAAACCGAGGTGACAGCATCCGAGCGATGTTCATCGCCTCAAGGGAAGACTCTTGCTGGTCTACTAACGCCTCCAGCTCAGCTTCAGCAGTGCGTCGTTGCTTCTCCCGTCGTTCTCGAAGTCTTTGAGCAGCTTGGGCTGGCGCAGCTTCACCTGCAAGTTGACTGCGAGCTTGGCGCTCCTCTTCGACTGCAAGTGCTCGACGTTGTGCTTGAATCTCCTTCTCTCTTGTTAGTGCTACTCGTTGCTCACACTGTCGACTCTATCAGCAGCACCAAATCAGCACCAATTTGTCAACGTTTAGATTTAGCACCAACTTTAGAATTTAGAAATTTGGCTCGTACGAATTCCGCCATTTCTTCGGGTGTGCGTCGCAGATGATGTAAGTACGAGCTATTACGACCGGACCCACCGGTATTACTTACAGCGAGTTGGTCGCTAACAGCAACAACCGCAGTGGTGGTTATGGCTGAAGCTGCTGAGCTGCGACGCGAGCGATGAAAGGCATCGGGGTAGCTTGTGCGAACAGCCAACATCTGCATCCGCTCTCGCATCAGCTCACCTCGTCGTCTCGTGGCATCTCCATGTCTTTCACCTACATTACAGCACTTACACTGTTAGATTAGAGCCTCAATTGAGTTGGAGAACAACACCAGTATCCTTACTCAGATGTGCCATTCGTGTACCAATTCAACTTCAACTTCAGCTCCAATGAGCTCCAATGCTTCAGTTCCCGTGAATTGATCCGAATTTGCGTCACGCCGAACCGACCTCGACGCACAATGCCTCGACGTCGTCTATGCGTTGCAATGGAGCAACGAAAGGATGGAAGAGGCTTTCGTACCTTCACATCTCCAGATATAGCAAGCCAGCCTAAGATGTACCATAAATATGGTACACTTCTCGAAGAGCTCTTCTAAGACCGTTACAAACAAGTCTCAACGGCTTGAGCATTGAAGACACCCAGCTTCCCATACCTTCGCACACGCGACGCTCGCTCACTCTGCATTGGCAAGTAGACTAAGAAAAGCACCGGAACCTCGACGTCGGCTGAGACTCAATGGCCTGTACAAGTCCCAACCAGTGGACACTACCGTCGCCCACCACGAGCAGCAGTCGCAGCAGTCTGCATCTGGTCAGCGACGACGTCGCACACGAGGAACAGGAGACCGACGACCACGAAATGCTTGACCACGTTCGCCAGCTCATCGTCGACTTGCTCGTAGACGACAGCCACAACTCTGTTGTCGAAGGCGTCAGAGGTACGAAGCATCGCAGTAACAATCCAGAGGACGAAGGTTCTGCGAGAGAGCGACTGCTCGAAGAGAAGCTCTCGCGCGTATTAATGGAGCTCGCTGGCGAGCAAGACAACTTGCGCTTAGCTGCTAATGCCGGCAATGCACTGCTCGAAGAGCTACGAACTGCACGCGAAGAGATCGACTCCTTAAATGACGAGCTGGAAGCTGTACAAGGCGACCGGGATCGCTGCGTGAAAGACGCACAGCGTCTACGTGACCAAAACGCAGCACTCGAAACTGCGTTGCAGCGCTACGACCCGTACGGTGCCGCCTCTAACCACACACAGCTTCAGAGACGACCCTCACTTCCCTCACGCTCCGGCAGCTTCTGTCGTGCAGACTCGTGCGAGCGCTGTGCTTCACGTGAGGTCGAGATGACGCAACTGGAACAGCGCGCTGACGAGCTCAGACGCCGCTGTTTAGAGCTGGAACTCGCGAGCGAGCGTGAACAACAGCGACAGCGAGAGATGACAGAGCAGATCGAGCAATTACATCAACGTAACAACGAGCACCTCGTTGAAACTACACGTGCTCAACAGGATCTAGAGTCCGTAGCGATACAGCTAGAACAACAATCCCAAGAGGTAGAACGAGTACAAGCTGTACGAGACTCATTGCGCCGCACTACGAGGCGTCTGGAAGCAGAGAATGAAGAGCTTCGGGAGCGTCTAGCGGCACGTGAAGAGCTTGTAACTAAGCTAGAAAACAGTAAAGCACGAGCGGCTACACAACTACAAGTTGCGGAGAACCGCACAGCGAGTGCACAGGCCGAGACACAGCGCGTCACTGAAGCATTGGAACAATTACAGAAGCAACTGGAGAGAACACGAGGAAGTAGCGCTGGCCCGGTGGAAAATGTTAAACAAACGGAAGACATGGAGCAGCTATTAGAAGACGCCTCACGTGAAGTTACTGCTCTTCGACTGGAGAACAGGATCCTACGTCGTCAGAGTTCAGTAGAGACTGACAAGACGCGCGCAAGACGACGCAAGACTATGTGTACGGGCACATCTGCCACGACTGCAGCGGATGTACTGGCACTTGATAGGAGTTCTAGTAACAAAAGCGACAGCGGGAGTGAGATCGAATCCACGACGGTGCGTTCTCCATTGCCACCGCTTGAGATCGAAGGCTTGAGTGCGAAGACAGAGACTAAGGAGAAAAGGCGGCGGAAAATGTCGTTGGAGTTGGATTGGGTCGATAAACATGCTACGTCCAGTGTCGCGACAGTGGAAGAGAAGCCCAGGGCGCGTCCTACAGCGCTGTCGCGTCTGAGTCATGTGAACGACCACTGTGTGATTAGCGGGGCGATTGAAGTCAATAGCCCCGACGTAATCGACGACAAACCCATACCTCGTCTACCGATCGATGAACTCCGAAGAGAAGCTGCCGAGTCGCCTCCAAAGTCGCCACTGTACTTGGGTTTATCGTTCATCGCGTGTGCTACTGCGGCGACTGCAGCTGGGCTTCTAGTTCGACGGTAAGAGATGATAACACGTACATCTTGGTCATATTTCGAGGCTATTGTCGACGACGCTTGCCATTGCCACGTCCTCGACTGGAGCTGGGACGTCCTGTGCCTCGTCCACTGTGATGTACACTCACGCTTCCACGACTCAGACTAGCACTACTTGGACGACGTCGATCAGTAGGACCCACCCTGGGGCGCTGTTCACGAGGGCTTAGTCTTGGCGCTACCATCTGCACCTTCCGACCAGGAAGTACAGCAGGTCTCCTATCCGGGCGACTACCGATAGCTCGTCGCTTTATCGCTTGCTTTCTGGCAATTAATGAGTGTTCGTAGTCATCACTGTCGTCTTCATAGCTGTAGTCATCGTACTCTTGATAGTCGGAATCATACTCCTCTTGATGTCTACGAGGCTGTCGACGTACGATTGGCCTCTTAGGAATACGAGAGTAGGGTACGTCGTACGGTACTCGCTCTTCATGATATTCGTCATGGTCGTAGTCTTCATGGTCATAGTCGTGATATTCTTCAACGTACTCGCGTGGACGAGTGACTGGCCGTCGAATTGGCCGGCGTGGACGCTCTTCATGGCCTTCATCACGTCTGTACATATCTTCATCTTCATAGTCATGTCGAGAGCGGATGGGTACTCGACGTACAGTCTGTCTGACTGGGCGTCTGGGAGGTTCTTCATACTCTTCATAGTCCTCTTCAACGTCACTCTCGTAAGACTCTTTGTCCTCCACTTCAGAATATTCTTCTACTCGTTGCGAACACTTACGTTTCCTCGGTATGGCTGTATGTTTCGAAGAGATCGCATCTCCTGCAATGACCTGTAACACCAGACGTTGTGCACGTAGCACACAGCTCATCTCTCCGTTAAATACACAGACTCGACTTTCATCATCATGTGGCGCTAAGAGGTGTGTGTGAGCGCCCGATTTTTCCGAGATCTCACGAATAAGTTTACCTCTGTTGTCCAGCATAAAGCCACAAATTCTCGACGGCAACAGCGTCTTGATCGTGACTTTGTCGCCCTTCCGACCAGTTGAGATCGGTGTCACTGTTTGTGGACACTTGTTCGAAGCCAGATAGTCACGTAGCTTGGCTCCAACGACACGTCGGGCGTGTTCTACTTCTTTAGGAGCGCCTTGCATGTGTAGAATGCGGTTCACACTACCCAACGGTAAGTCCTCCGCTGAAGGAATTTGTAGACGAGCACCGGTACGTTCAGTAATACTCTTAACAGTGGAGCCTTGTGGACCGATAAGGAAGCCAGAGGTGTGATACGGGATGGCGAAATACTGTCCAAGTCTGCCACTCGGACTTGCTGATACCTCCGGATGTCCACCAGATCTGGCTTTAATCTCTTCGATCGCTGCAGCGATAGAGTCCACAGTGCCAATCAGGACCACTCGACGCTCGGAAGTGCCGGGGACGCTGTCCTTATCCAGATGAATCGCTGCTCCTGTGTTCTGGCGGATTGCTGCGAGGATACTGCCCTGTCGCCCCATCATTTTACCCACGTCTTCACGCGGGACCATCCAGACAAACGGACTAGTGAACTCCAGTTCGTTTTTCTTCCCAGAGACAGCGACGCTCATAGCTTTAGTAATGGACGTGGCAGGGAGTGCAACGGGAGGGGACTCGTTGGTTAAATCCATGTAGTTTGGGTCTCCTTTATCGGCTCGATACGCTCGAATGTACGCGATGACAAGCCGTTGAGCTAAACTGATGCCTTTGGCTTTCCCGTAGATGCGTAACAAGCGATCGTCTTTGAATGGCGAGGCCTCCGGCTCGCGAATGGATAGTGTGCAGTCTGATTGCTGACTGATGCTTTGAATTGGCTGCCCACGACGTTCCAGAAGAGCGGTAGTGGCGTTGGAAGGGATCAAAATGTGCAGCATGTGCTGGAAATCGCCATGGAGTTCCGAGTCTTCGTACTCGTCCGGTGTGAGCAGCTCCAGCTTTTTCAGCATGAGCGATGTATTCGTATGGGAAGGTTTTGTACGGGGTTGTTTGGGTTCATCTCGTGCAGGAAGTTCACGTTTCATAGGGCGCTTTTCCTCTAAATGAGGTTGGTGTGTAGGATTTCTCGGTACTTCCAGGGGTTTAAGCTGTTGGAGTCGCGGGACTTTATCTCTGCCACCCGTTAGGTCTGCAATACGTGGCTTTGGTGCCGAGCTCAGGACAGCAACGCGAGCAGTAGAAGCATGGGAGGTGTCGCTCTGTCTGGCATCTTCACCCGCAGTCTGAATGACCGTTAAGCTGCCTCCAACGACCTCGGAATTGATAAACATGGCATTTATCGACGATCCAGTGGACGTCACGGTGGTATGTGACGCTGAGCTTTCGTTATCGGGTGTTGAGATGCCATTAAAGCCTCGTTCTCGGCGTCCTGAGGCTGGTAGAGCCTGTGATGCATTGTTTGTTGACACTGGGGATGACTGGTGGCTGTGATTGCATGTACACTTGGGTGTGTGTTGCTGTTGATGCAGATCATTAATCTGTTCGCTCTTTATATCAGTCGGCTCGGTTTTGATAGGAGGAGGTCTGTAGTCCATCACTTGTTCTTCGTCCACGGTGTCGCCGTTTTGTTCCGGTTGGAGACCGCGGTTCACGCGGGCGCGGTCGAGCAAAGCGAGGAGTTTGGACTTGCGACCAGCGTCATCGGTGTCTGCGCTGGAGGGCGCTACGAATGGCAGCTCCATGGGAGCCAAGCGTAGATGGAGGAAGAACTTGTCGAAATGGCGGAATGCTGATTCGTATGACAGGTGGTAGGCTAAATGCGTACAACACATATTTTGTGTGGTACACAGTCTTGTGGACATGTTGTGTAAAACTGAAGCCGTTCGTCTACAAGCCCAAACGATGCCATGTGGTACAGCACAATTGTGCTTCGTAGCAGAGGTAACCTACCACGCAGACAGCACGGTGCGCTCATACTAAAGCGATGCCGGCGCGTGCTATTTAATAAATCTAGATTCTAATGCTCAGCTCATGTGTCAGCAGCAGTGATGGATACTCTCGCAAGATAGGACTTGCAGCGATCTACGGGCTCGACGACAATTGGAGGTGCGTGACTGCGGCGAGTCAGCACAAGGAGATGGCCGTGCATCGGACCAATAAGGCGCTAGAGGTTTGAACTTCCAACCTGAAACGAGAACACGCGCGTGGACTGGATCCTGCAGACTTGATTGCACGCCTCCAGTGCATACACACTTCAGATTCCAGTTGTGTCGTCTGCTAGTCGAGACTCGTAAAAACACCGAATTGGCGACTGCTGGAGGCTCATTGGCTGCAACACTGACACGAAGGGGAATCGCTGAACAAAACATATTTGTTTTGCATTCTCAAATATGTGCGAGGTGTGCTTGATATTTGATATGTCTGCTTGGTGGCGCGATCACCAAGCAGACATTTATCACCCATGGGATTGCGGTATATTTGAAGACATCGGAGCTCGCAGAACAGTGTGCATACTTACTGAAGGAATGCCGGACATGAGCATTTCGGTTCTTGACATAGTTAATAGCTAAGCGACGCACTAACAGTGTTCCCTTTTTTAAAAACACGATTTACAACCCTCCTGATCAGTTTACTGTAGGAGGATGATGCAGTGGCATGCTGAGCACTGTGATGCACACTCGCCATCCTGCCGTCTATGCTGCATGAGACATTACGACCAAAATCGAAGCAGCTGGAACTGGAATCTGAAGTTTGCCCTGGAACGGGGAGGTGTCAAGGCCCATGCAGCCAATCACGTGACTCGATGCTCGTTACAGACTGGAAGTCCTGATTTCAAAATTCGAGTGTACTAAATAGTGTGTCAGACCGTATATAGAGCGATCTTTTCACTTCGTTTTTAAAAAAGATATTAGTGGTTGTTAGATTAAGCAAGAAATCCACATTTCCTAGCTTAGGAGTCCTAAGTTAGGACCTCCAGACTCTGACTCGACGCAGTCACTTCCTGCCAAGAATCAGCGCCAAAGACGCCGCAGACCATCGTATCGCTGCTGCTGCACAAGCACCCGCGGAAGGCAACAACCCAAGTGTCCATCCGAATCTGCAGCGCAAATCCCCACCGCAAACAAACAGGCAAGCGCCACCAGACAGCAGCAAGCGAGCGAAACGTCGTTGTCTCTTTCTTTGGACACCTCCAACGGCTCCCAGTTGACAATTTGCTTCTCAAGCACTAAGCACCAATTTCGACTGGCTAAATACCAATGCGACGAGTCGGATGCACGCTATTTGAGGTCTCGAGCCGCGTCAAGCCGCTCTCGACGCGGCAGCGGCCTCTAGGTCGCGCGTTTGCGACGGCCTCGCGTCTTCTTGATTGCGAGAACGACACGCAGCGCCTAAGCCGTGTTGTGTCGGCCAAGCACGTGAATGACAGCCACCAGCACTACCTTTACTACCACAGCAGCAGCCAACACGGGGCAATGGAGGGAGAGGACGCCGAGGAACACCACCACCACCACCACCACGAACAAGTTAAGGACACGAGCTCCTTCTCCCGCGAATTTGAGAAGCCTCGGATGGACGCCAGCTTCCTGGTGAACAACTACACAGCACCAGCACTCGCTGCAGCCTACCAAGACCGCGAATACACGTTGTGGCTATGCGCTGAGCTCCTGAGTGAGGGAAAGCTAGACGAACTGGAAGCTGTACTCAAGCCTTACCACGGTACGCAACTTCTTCTCTATTTATCCCAAAAGATAGCGAATGATGAACTGATCTGTTTGTGTTTATTCTACAGACTTTGCTCAACACGACATCAATGCACAGAGGCGAACGCCGCTTGCTAATGCATTCAGCAAGCGTCATCTCGAGCGTATCCGCAAGCGATTAAGTCGACTGCCACGACAGATCACAAAGGCTTACTCAGCACGTGCAGCTGTGGTCATCCCGCTCTGCACATTCGAAAGCGAACCGTCCGTACTCTTCACATTGCGTTCACTCACCGTTGGCAAGCACAAGGGCGAGGTGTGCTTCCCTGGGGGAATGGTGGACCCCAACGACTCGTGCATTGAAGGCACTTGTCTGCGTGAGATGAACGAAGAGGTCGGACTGGCTCCAGAGGGTGTCGATGTCCTCGGTGTGTTACGCTGCGACTGGTCCAGCGTCACTTCAATCACAGGCATTGCCGTCACACCCGTCGTGGGTTTTATCGGCGAGATGAGCGACCGGACTGTTGCAATTAACGAGGACGAAGTGGAGTCGCTCTTCACAGTGCCACTACGCGATCTGATGAACCAGGACAACTGGATCCGCCACAGCAACGCCACTCCAGTCTTCACAGGCGGCCCACACGTGATCTGGGGACTTACAGCCTACCTCCTGGACATTTGCCTATCTGAAGTACTCCAGATCAGCGACTAAATTCTGAAAAGATGAGAATATATTTTGAACTCTGTATCAATACAAATTCTTCTCTTGTTTTTAGAAAGCTGAAGCTACTTTATATTTTTTTTTCAAAAATTAGTGTTGAGCGTAATATCCTTGCGAAGGCTGGATGGCAGGCTGCGGCTGGTAGTAGCCACCAGGTACGACCAATACTGGCTGCAGCGATTGCTCGTGTCGATATGCTCGTCTGCGTCTGCAGAGGCAGCGGAATAGATAAGTTACGACTGCGATAATGAAGAAGAAGCCGAGAACGCCCAACACGATCGCCAGGATCGTCGTGAGGTGGCTGTTACCGTCATCGCCGAACGTAATGCCCGAGACACCGCCACTGCCACCTCCATACCCGTTACCGCCAGTGTTGTCGCCCGAAGAATCCGAGGATGCCGGCAAAGATACCGCCTGGGAACCAGGTGTACACGTGCTGTTCTCGACACAATAGAACGTCACCGACTCGTTGACGTTGTAGCTTGTATAAAACACCTTCAAGAACGTCTCGCCGATGATCCATGTGTTAGCGTACGAGCCACTACTACTCGACGTCGCCTGTACTTCCACGACGACCATATTACCGCCCAGATTGATAATATAGTCCTCTTTTTCCAAGTAAAAAGTCACGTCTCCGAATGTTAGTGCCAGCCGAGGCAAATCGATGTCACTTGAGCACATGTAAATTTGTGATCCGGATTGGTACAATTGGCAGCTTGAAAGATATGTCGACACAAAATCTGAGTAGACTGAACTGGGCATTGCCAGTAGAGAAGTGCCCGAGTCCACGATACTGTCACAACTCCCACTACTCGCTGTGGAACATGGGAACACGGCTGTGTTGTTGCCAATCTGCATTGCCGTCATGCCGATTGTCCAATGTGTTGGAGTTGACGACTTGAGGTTGACTGTGTACGGTACAAGGCCGTTGGAGGAGATTAGAGCGTCATCCACGCCGTTCAACAGCAAGAAGCTGCCGTCTGAATTGTCCTCTTGCGTCAAATACATCGAGAAGCTCGTGACGTAGTCAATAAACTGGCCACCAGGCGACGGTAGTGTTGCTAGTGAGCTGTAGGCGAGCCCAAAGAGACCCTGAGCGTCACCTGCAAGCAGCGAAGTGGAGCTGCTGGGGTTCACAGTCGAGCCCTGCGCCACTCCCACCACGTAATTGGACACTGCGATGTTGCCAAACTTGATATCGGCCGATTGGCCTTCCACACAGACGTCGCCGGAGCCATAGGAGATCGTTTCTGCGTCGGATGGACACGTAGACTCGCACGTGGAGCCGCTGAGGTAGTAGCAAGAGATCCACAAGTCCGACGAGCCCGTGTCCACCTGCACGACGAAGGTGGTGCCGTCCACCACGATGTCGGCGAAGTAGATGGTGCCCTGGTAGTTCTCCATGTCCACGGCGTTCGAGTTGCTGGCGCTGCTTACGAGACGACGCGAGTGCGTCCAGAGCGTCTGGCCTCGCCGCATCGGCACCTTGGCCACCGCATTGGACGTCATGGTCAACGGTCCGCCGGTCACGCGTCTAAATGAGAAGTCAACCCAGAAGCCTGTTGATTTACCCGACTCGTGTCCACTTTTAAGGAATGGAAAAGCGTTATAAAGGGTCGGTCGGCAGACTCTGCGACAGAAATCGCACCTTGCACTGACAGCTGAGCTGAGCTTGATGTCAGAGTGCTCTTGGTGCCGTGACCTTGATTTTCTCTATGTCGTGCATTTTGCTCGTCGTGTCTAACTCTGGCTTTTCAAGAGGTCATAGTGAACGCAAGAAAGTAGCACATAGCCAGGTGTGTACAATTGCCAGCAGCGAAACCTGCGTCAACTAATAGTATTCTGTACTGAGTATCTTCAGGTTAAAGAATGCCAAATAACATAATTTTTATTGAATACAAAACTCGATTCTGAGCAAAATATCAGATTAAACGAGATCTGCTATTACTGATGGGAGTAACGTAATAGGCTGCAACGTTGCATTGAAGCGATCAGCGAGACACATACATAAATGTACATCGCACGCTCTGCTGGGATGGGGTTATCGCTGCTTGTCCGTTTGGCTGTGGTGTTGCTGCAGCCAAATGAGCGTCAATTTACTTGCCACCAAGTCCAAAACTTTATCGATAAGTTACATGAAGGTTTTTTTTTTGAATAAGTTCCACGAAGTGATCGCCCGTACGAGGAGTGGCGTACCTGATTATGCAGGTGTGTGACACTTTGTCGAAGTTGCCTACATTGAAGGCCCTTCAACTTGAGATGAAGGTCATCATGCTGTACGAGAAAATTATCTCTCGCATAATTTGCCGCTCCTCACAACATGTAAGAATGCTTATAAATGAACAGCTCAAGCAGAGTTCGTCACTAGGCCCACTCAAATCGATGGAGATCTACCGTCAGCTCTAAAATACTTGCTCGGGGTCGACGGTAGCCTGCAAGTGTGTGATCATCTAACTTCTGTACAGTACAGCTTAAACAATTATAATAGAATTGTTTCAGATTTCGAGGTCAAGATGAATTTGGTAAAAGATCTGTTTATTTTGATATTTTGGAACGCCATTATTAACACGTACAACTATGACATCCTCAAAATATCAAAATAAACAGATCCCATACCAAATTCTTCTCCAAAAATGTCGCCGCCAATCTTCGCGCACCTGCATTCATCGCCGCTGGTGGTACGGCGTCACTCAGGAGCCAACTGGCGCAGTCTCAGTCCACACGCAGACATCAATGGCTCGTCCAGTGGTCTGGAGGCCGTGGAGCTCATCGACGTCAAAGCAGAGCGTCGTCTACTGCTCGAAACGCTGCGAGAATCTGGTCGAAAGCTCGCGTGGCATTCGGAAGTCGCCGACCTTCACGCTTTCCGTAAGGTTTTGTCGTTCGGCTGTCGAGCACTGCACTTCTCGGGCCATGGCGTCCCTGGCCAAGTGATCTTCGAGACACGCAAGGGCGAGGCACAGTTCGTCTCTCAACAGGAACTCCAGGACCTCCTGCTAGCTGGAGGTGCTGAGAGCCGCCGTCCGAGACGCAAACGCGATAAAAAGATGCGCAATCGACAAAACCGAAGCCAGAGGAATTCAGAATCCAGCGACAGCAGCAGCGAGAGCTCCAGCTCTTACAGTAGCAGCGACGATGCCACAGCGGGCTTCGCTATCAGATCTCACAGGGTGGAGAGGGGCTGGGTGGCTTTATCGCCCCCTCCAATGCATGGGAAACCTAAAATCCCGTTACAATTAGTATTCGTGAGTGCATGTCACTCAGAGAGTGTAGCTCAAGCCTTCGTAAGTGCCGGAGTGCCCCACGTCGTCGTGGTGTCCAAAGAGGAGAAAGTTTTGGATCGTAAAGCCATGGAGTTCGCCAAAGCCTTTTACACGGCACTATTTGCCGGTCACTCAGTGGCAAAAAGTTTCCAGATTGGACGTGTGCAAGCGGATATTGCAGTTGCTAACAACGGGAGTATTGGGAGACCGTCAGAGTTTAAATTACTAGGAGATGGAGACCATAATGATGCTCTCTTTCGAGATGTACCGGTGGGGGATTGTGTCGAAACAGATATGGGGGGAAGAAGAGGGAAATGCACAGTTAATGAGTGTGATACGGTCGCTGAGGTGTTTGTCGGTCGATCTTTGGAGGTGCATCAAGTATACAAGTCCCTCGTGGAAGGTGCCAGACTCGTGAGTATTGCGGGGGAACGAGGTATCGGCAAGACGGAAGTGGCGCTGCAATGTGCTCAATATGCCACGGAACGTAAAATATTCCGTCATATATTTTATCTTCGCTTGAACACGAGCAATGAACGGGAAGATAGCAGTGATATGTGTGAACTGGAGCCGTCAGATTTGATAACTAGATTTGCAAAGTGTTTGGGTCTTCAAGCGACAACGCTCGATGAGTTAGCGGAACAAGCACGACAACGCTGTGACGTAGAAAGCCAAGGCGACGGCAACAGTTTTCTATTGATTTTGGACGGTTGTAATCGAGCACAACGTCAGAATCCCAGATTTTATGCGATTGTCGCGATGCTATTACGACGTGTGAATTCTCTGGCGCTTTTGCTGACGGGTGACGGGAAATTTGGGGCCATGGATGGCGTAGGCGAGAAGATAATACCAGTAGGTCCGCTGCCGCCTGCTGACGCGGCGTTGCTGTTCACTCTGCGTGCACCTAGAAAGATTAAAGCCCACGAAATGGGTGGAAGTAGTGACCTTGAAGCGTTTGGCGAACACCCCATTATTAAGAGCTTACGAGGTCATCCACGAACGATATGCGCGGTGTCGCAGTTCTTGGAGAAGAAAGATATGGAGCTGGATCAACGAGAGTTTCTCAACTACATTATTCCGTCAGTAAATACGGGACTTTGTATGGGCAAAGTGGACGCCACTCGACCTGACTGTGGTTGGGAGGCACATCATCACGAACAAGAAATGCTGAGTCTAGAGAAGGCGAAGTCTATGGATGGACGTTACTCGCATTCGCATAAGCATCACCATAGTCATTCACAGTGCATCATGGAAAACATGGAGCATCAGCATCAATTCCATGGACACGAGGCTGCGCTGCGGCGGATGAAACCTGTAGCTTCTCAGTCGGATGTCTTCACGGCCAAGTCCTCTTTAGGAGTGTCGATTGGAAGCTGTGATGGCCATACAACAGAGCCTCCTCCGTGGAAAACTCATCCACTGATATCAACCAGAAGCGAGCCGAGTTTAACTGGCTCAGTTGCGTCCCCAACTACATCATTACAACAGCTTTGTCTACTGAAAGTAGCAGATCACGTGAGACCGATTATCCAGAGTGAAGGAGGTAGTTTAGTATGGGCAAGAGCAGTGGTTATCAACGCCACTCTACCTGATTTTCACAACCCTGAAGGTGGCTTGAAAGACGGCTATTCTGCTACTGTGGTACGTCAATTGCAGGAACTGAAGGACGTTCCGTTGGATTGGATAGCACCGCAAGTTAGCTGTTTCTTCGCGACCAAATTGAAAGGAGATGCTGCCAAGCGTCCATTATCCAGCCGCAGCATCGATTTCTTAAGCAAAAGTTCGCTTATCTGGGGTCGTGACTGTGCTGCTCCAGCACAACGTGGTGGCGCTGTGAATCTACATATGTTTACGGCGTTCTGGGCGTGGTTTCGGCCGCTTGTCGATTGTATTTTGTACTCAACTCTGTGGCCTCATACCGAGCCACGTCTGCTACACGGATTTTTGTCTAAGGGTGCGTGTGTTAGTATGCTGGAGCGTGCACCGCCAGGTACTTTTCTACTGCGATTCAGTGAGACTCGAGTACGCTGTCTTGTGATCGCGTATGTACGGGACGACCAGTATGTGCAGTTTGTACCAGTAACGTGGCAGCCAGAACGTGGAGGGTGGTTTGTTGCATTGCAAGGAGATGCAAATACCGGATATGTTGAAAACAATGGCGTGACATTCCCGACGATACAGGAATTGATTCTCAGCGTCAACGTGCTGAAATTCCTTTTCCCACAAACACCCAAAGAAGTAGCCTTCACGCTGTAAACTTACATGTTAAGGTGTAGAAAAAGTACTAGTAGTAAAGAGATCTCGTGTATTGCGGATCAAAGCAAGAAAACCAAGAAAACCAAGAAAACAATGGGTGTGATTTTGTAATTTGAACCAAACCTACAGAAGTGCGAGGATCAATATGCTCCCGACTTAAAAAGGAAAGGCAGCATTGAATTCGTTGACTTCGTTCAGTTCAGTTCTTCAGAAACTATTAACTATTTCGTACCGTTTAACTCAACGTTTATCCAACATCGATATTTTTTAAGTGCGTTTGTAATATTCCTAGATACTAACTGAAAGTACTGTGGTTTCTAGCTGAGAGTAGACAAGTCTGTTGCTATGAGTAAATGCTACGTTTATACTGGGAATGCCTCATAGAGGTATGAACAGACCACAACGGATTAATTCCACGGTACCGCGCAGATCGAAATGCGTAACGCAACCTGGGTCTCAGTAGAAAAGCTTGTTGTTTTTGGTAGACTCTTTTTCAGGTCACCGGCGGGTCTGGTCCTCCTTCGGTCCTGTTGAATTGGGTGCTACTTCGAAACGAGAACAGCTTTTCGGTGAACTGTTTCTGGGCAAGATGTCTAAGAACAATACCATTTATTCTTTGATAAATATATGAGTGTGATTCAAAAACCTCATACCAACCTGACAGGGGGTCGTTGTTCTCCCAACGCCGGTTGTACTTAGCAGTGGAAAAACATACAGCACAATTACAACAAATTGGAACACAGCGCCTTCAACAGGGTCAATCTTATCGAGAAAGATATTTAACGCGGTGCACTACTCAGAAGTGGAGTTGACGCTAATACGAAAATGAGATCGGTAAAGAGAGCGATGCGCATATCTAACTCCACCAACGAAATTAGCCACATACATTTACAACACACTGACGAACCAGCGCCGTAAAAAGGGGAAAAAA